CATTGATCATAAATTCTTTGGACCAGAACAATTAATGTTATTACTCATAAAAAGAATTGCCGTGATTTTTAATGAAGATGAAAGGAAAACTAAGGGCGCAAAAAGGCAAATCAGAAATGCTTACTTCATTTGAAAGACAACAAATTTGAGAGCGGATATAACGGTAGCTGTCTGACGCGTCAAAGGAAGCAAAAATCAACTGGCATCTGTAGGTGAACTGAGCAGCACGGTCGAAAACGAAGCAGTTTTCACAGTTGGGGATGGTAAAGACATGGCTCTTAAACAAAAGTAGCTCAAAAGTTTTTCAGATGTGAACAAAAAAATCATGTGATGAGATCCTCATTTCCATCACGCAATAAAGAATAACGAAGTTTATTACTTTAAAGGTGACTCCCTAGCTTCGCGTTCCAACTGTTTAACTTTGCACTTTAGCCTTTCAAGTTTAGCTCTTGTATTTTTCAGTTCTTGACCATTAACTGCTCTGAAAGAAATTACTCGCTAAATAACGGAAAGATGTCGAGAAGTAGTACTAAAGAAATCCCATCAAAACTTTTTTTGGAAAGTTTCAGTAAATTCAATTCTGTGGGAATCATTTTGAATAATTTTTAAAAGTGGCACCGCTTACAGCTCAGTTTCCAGATCAAAGTTTTTGATTCTCACACGATGAACATCGTCATTAGCACGCTGAAGTTCGTAATCCAACCTAGTTAATTGCGCATTCTTATTGACTATCATTTCCTCTAGCTGACTAAGAGCTGTTTTCAACGTCGTCGAAGATAATTTCTCACCATCCAACTGTTCTTTCAAATGTTTACAATCATATTCAAACTAAAAATACTTTAAAGTTTCAGAAACTGTAATAAACGGCACAAATTATTCAATAACCAAAAAACTTAAATGAAAAGACTATAACGAGTAAAATGTTTAGCTTAGGTTAATAATATGTGAGAAACGCATAAGAAATAGTCCTAACCTTAATAACTCTATTCTGTAAATTCAGCACTGCCTTTTCTGATTCATCTAGTTTCTTCTGCGTTTCACCAATCTAAAATTTTGTGGAAAATCAACGAGTGTTAAAATAAAGCATACTGAATGTAATATAATAACTTTAAACGAGTACTAGTAAGTGATTTCAAATTTGTTTCAAATGGACAATTTAGAACAAACCGTTGCTTTCGCAGCAGCCAATTCCTCAGCAATTCTTTTCTTGTCCTCTGTTTCATTTAATAACTCTGTGTTTTTCTTCTCAAATGTGGCTTCCACTGCCTTCAGTTTTTCAGTCAACGAATCGACTTCTTGTTGCAACTAAATTGCAAGCAATAATGATTCTTAAAGAGTAATAAAAATCAAGACAGTACAGCTTTAATACTAAGTAAGACAATACGGCAAATTTTCTGTCGCAGGTTCTTACAAAGTGCTGTTTCAGTTAGGGTGAAAAATGCAATAATGCAGAAATCTAGAAGCATAACGTAATATTCATACCGTCCTTTTCTCATTGACTAGGGTGAAATAATTTCTTTTTACGTCTTCAAAACCTCTGTTACTGGACTCGAACAATACCTGATCAGCTTCTATAAGAAAAGCAATAAGTAGAAACAAAAACAATCATAAAAATCCCTCGTTTTCCTCGTAGAATTCGGCGACAAGAACATAAGAAGCACTAATGCGAGCTAAAAACAGATCTAGAAAAAAAAACTTAGGAGAGAATTTAGATTTACCGGTACGACGTGGATGTTCCACGATAGGGGAATTAAGATTAGATGGAGTGTCACCACATATTTGCTCTATCAAAACTGCTCTTTCGGCATCCTAAAGCGTCTCAACTACGTAATTAGTAGAATATTTGAGTACTGCAACTAGAAATAACTATGCTACAGAAACGTAAAAAGAACAAAAGATGAAGTTCCCAGTACCCCAAAATAACAGTGTTGCTAGTTAGGGTGCAGAATAACATAACATATGCCACATTTTTGTGCAATCGTATTTTTATTGCACCATAAAATAAGGTGTAAACATCAAAAATAACTAACTTTCTGCTTCAAAAGCTCTTGGTACGTTTCGATCTGCGCCAAATGAATCTTCAAAGTTTCTGCACTTGTTTCTTCTTTCTCTGCCACAGTCTCGCGAAGTTTCTATAAGAATAAGCCAAAATTTATGTTGCCAAAAAATTCAGTGGAAGGAAGTGGAAGAAACTAAGACTTATATGTACTTATCACCATTATTAAAAATGCTGTTTCGAAGTTATATCCCAAAGATATAACGAAGATCCATCTACCTGGAGAGATGCAGACAATCCCTCATTTTCCTTTTCCTTTTGCCCAATAGCCCTCTCAAGCTCTTCACACTGTCTTACAAATTTGGTCTTTTCATTCAAAAGAGAATGGATGTCATCCTCGAGTTGCTTTAACAACGCATTCTGACTAGATAATCGGCGTTCACAGTCACTGAAAGCGAGGCACTACACAACCATTTTTCTTGCTTGCAGTACAACATCGATAAGAGAAAAATAAGGTTTTCCACCTACTATCCTACTGATGCATTCGAAGGTGAATTGATTTTATTAATTTCTTCTCTTTTTTAAAACCATAACTTCTGAAAAAGCTTGGCTTCCCTATGATAGATGTTACGGCATGTGAAAACGTGTTCCTTGAACTGACAATCTTTACTTTAACATAACGGCAAAAAATTCGCTGATTCTTAGAACTAGAAGATTTGAAGGTTTGCTTCATAAGCGTATTCTTTGTCCTTAGCTTTCAAAGTTCTATCATATCTCGAAATAACCCGGAGATAACACATATCAAAAAAAAGCAATTTGTTGAATTTAGTGTGCTTCTTCCCTTCTTCCTCACCAGTTTTACTTTTACAATAAATTACGGTCGTAACACAAGAAAAGCCCATGTCTTAAGCTGTTTCTGCAAACCTCAAATAAAAAAAAAAAAAGATTTAAAATGCATGAAGTACTTTGTCTCAATCTATCTCACTCCAAACTACAGTACATTTCATTGAAGATTTAGTGCTTAACGCTAACGCAAAACTAACCGTTTGTCCAGATGAAGATCATCAATTTCTTTTCGCAATACTGCCAAATCACTGTTGCCGGACCTCCCCTTATCAGATGACTCTAGTTGTTCAATTCTTTGATGAGCTTTCCCTGGAATTAACAAGATACCCGAAACAATCTAAACATTTTTAAAACCTTGTAATTTAAAATAATCTGAAACTAACACAGCTCATTCTGTAAATGTTGCACAGTATCCTTTGCAGACTGCTCGCTCGTAAAATCTTCAAGACTAAACAACAGTAATAAAGTTTCATTAAAATTAGTTTTGATAAGGTAATCTAAAAATTTGTTACTTTAAAGTTACGAGAAATTTTTGCGACGATTTATAACAGGGTCTAGTAAGTAGAAGAAGCATGCAAACTACTTCAACTTTCTGACCCTCACTTATGAATCTGAAATCTTCTTTTAATTTGGAACTAAACCAGCGCTCTAGGGAGTTTCACGAAACAAATTTGATTTAGTTAACTGTACACAAGTGTTTTCCAAGGTGAAATTTGTTTATAAGTCATAAATATTTATTAATTATGCAAAAAATTTAGTACTTCCTGAACAAAATATTTTAGGTTTCAAAGTACAAAAAGTTTGCACACTTACACTTTTGACCGACCAGTGGAGCTTTGAGAGCTTTCGCTACGTTTCCTTCTGACCAACTCCAGCTCTAGTTTTTCACAACGACAACGTAATTTTTCGCACTCACTAGCTTTCTGAAACAAAGCAGATATAAGCATCAAAATTTCTTCTCAAAACTAACTCTAGCAGTTTTGTAATAAGGATAACCTCACTTTCTCTTTCTCGTTTCTTGAAAATTCTTCACTTGCAGTCAATCTCACGCGTTCAGCTTCAAATTCCTCTGCTTGCTCCTAAGACCAAATTGTTTTTTCATGAGGTAAGCAATGACAAGACTCAATTTATTCTGTAAAAACTAATGGATAAGAAAAAAAAACTTTACACATGCTTCCTCAATACCAAACCTTTATTCTGCTTTTTAATAACTGCACTTGTTGCTGCAAGTGTTCAACACTTTCGTGAGATGACTTAAAAGACGGCAAAACTGATAAAGAATTCTGACGATTCCTCTCGTTCAACTTAGCACTAAAGAAATAAACTATGACGGCACTACCATTATGTTACTGCAGTGTTTATAACATCTTTTTAGATTTTAATGAAATAACTTCGAAAAAGAAAAGTAAAAGAATTATTCAAGCAATAATTTTTCTTTCATATCTTTAAAAAATAAACAAAGAAAATAATACTAGAAAAACTACACGTAAACTGAAATGCACAAAATATACAGGTTATCCCAGCTACTATAGCGGCGTTTGCAAGATTCGCATCGTGAATGTGGACTGGACTGACGAACAGAATCACTCAGGCGTCGAGAATCGCTAGAAAGTACTTTGTTAGACGCTTCTTTCCCGTGGTAAACTAGAAGTATAATAATTTACCAGGGTTCGCTCGAACACTTCAGTCGTTCACTCAATGCTTTAATTTGTTCTTGAAGTTGCCGCTTTTCCTAAAAAACTCAGAAAAGATAAATCCACAAACAATCCAGACATTTAGTAAAATAAGTTGATTTTGACCTTAATGCAGTTTAGAAAATGGCCAAATGATGTGCCATAAAAACAAAAAAGTTTCGGAGAGGAAACCATCAACATATGACCAACCATTAGAAGAGAGTTTATCCTTATGTTAGCTGAAGCGGTGTCCTTGAAAAAAAGTAATAAATGATAGAAAATTTGAGAAAAATGGAACATAAAAGAAAAAACTAAAAATTGTACAATAGGTAGTTGAATCAAAATCTAAAATTCGTACCTGTGAACTAGCTGTTGAAGATCCACGTCTCAATGTTTCAAGCTAAAAATATTGGTATGTATGACAAGGTAATGTAATGAAGATAAAAAAATATTTAAAAGATGACCTCAACGTGAAGCCGATTAATCTTCTCGTCCCTTACTCTCAATTTCTCTCGCCATTCGGCATTATCCCTTGCTTTTTCTCGAACCTTCAATATTTTTTTTCATTAACACAAGACGTGAAACATCTAAACGGATTTTATAACTAAAATGCGATTCAATTCAAGTTCAACATTATTTCTAGACAAAAAAATTAACTCCGCACCATTACTTGCAATTTCGTATTTAGTGTCTCCACGCACTTCTTGAGACTTTCTTTGGTGTCTTGCAGATAGCGATAGTCACATGCACTTTCACGTTCTGCAACCTGCTCAGGATCTATAGGAGTGAGTGTGTTTGTAGACGCATGCAGCGTAGACCGTGGAGCAGAGGTAACAGGTTGTAAGCCTTCACCTCCAGCAAACTGTTTTCGACGACTGTCTGAAATTTTCATCTCACAAAACTCCACGATATTCTTGCAGTCCAACATTAGCAACTTTAACATGTTAAAATTAAAATCTTGCAAAGCCTGATAAATAATTTTCAAAGTATAAACTAAACTAATCTGTGCAAACAGATCTAGCTTATAATAAGAAAAGGGTGACGTATAACGATATTTATAAGAAATTTCATAAAAATATTCTCAATATGTGGATTAATTTAAAGCAAAAAAAATTAAGCTAACAAGAAAGCTAAACAATTGTGAGTCGGTTACTATTATTTTGCACATTAAAATTAATTACCAAGACATTCACAGGAGGAGCATTTTTTTATTGCACTCAACTCTTTTTGAAAACCAGCATTTTGTGTCTGTAGTTTCCTAATTTGTGCATTTAGTTGCTTATTGAAAAACCCATACTGTCGTCTTCTGCTCTGTTCCGCATTAAGTGCTCTTTCCAAATCTTTAAAGTGATAAGTGTTAACGAAAAAATTTTAACAGTTATTATCAAAAATCGAAATTTGTAAAAAAAGTTTTTGAACCAAACTATTTAAACTTAATACAGTTTTGTTTCTGATGTATTTCCATAATTTAAATAATTTATATAAATCAAATGTGTTCGGAAACGTTTGGAAACAAGAAATATGCGCTTCATGTAATTAGCATCTTTTTTCTAGATAATTTTAATTAATAAATTAAGTTACTAAAACTGCAATCCTTTAATTCCAGATATCAGACTGATTTTAAAAAAAAAAAAAATAAATAAATAAATAAATAAAATAGTAACTGACTTTTAATTCGATTTTCATAATCATGTTTCACCTGTGCAAGTGAGTGCATATTTTCAGCAGACAACAGCAATGGCAATACTACTGTTCAGCAGATGCGTAGATAATTCTGTAAATCAATATAAAGGTAAAATAATCGTCAAAATATATA